GTATCTTCGCACGGTCAGCCCGTGCGTTGGCCATTATTTTCCTCTTGTTGTTATAATAACAGTAATAATAATTTATTATTATCATTACAATTATAATTATTTTATAGTTTCTTCTTACAATTTATAGCTTACGTACTTTAGCTTTTTATCTTTTAATCATAATATGACTAGATCTTCTGTTACAATTCACAGTAACCACTTAACGTCTCCTCACAAAAGGACCTGTATAATAAAAAGTTTTTCGCTGATTTTCAGGAACACTGAAAGATGGTGGTAAAAGGGATTCTACAAGCGGGGGATGGAACAACGCACTCGTTTTAAAATTTATTTTTTGAATTCGAACCATGTGAGTGCTGCTAGCAATGCATGAAAAATACGAAGAATCGTCTGCCAGTTTGCTTCTGCCGACTCAGACATGCAGGAAACAAGATGAAGGCGTGAAAATAAATTCTAATTATTGCATTTCTGACACAGCAGCCCTCTTGATAATTTTCTGACTGTATTTTGATAAGGGAAGTCGTGTTGGAGAGGTTTTGGATCGATATGCTGCACTAAATATCAACAGTAAGTGATCTCGGCACCGACTGTCCTGGAAACTTCAATATCCTTAGTGTGTGCATGTTGGATCACTTCAAGTTTTTAAAAAGAGGGAACACATCGGTTTAGAGAAAATATATAATGTCTTAGCATTTTTTGATAAATTCATGAATAAGACAACGGAGAAATGCAAAAGCGAAGGCACTCAGCGATTTTTCTAACGGAACATTCCTTCCACATTTTTTGCTACGCTAATGAGATCCACCACTCAAAACACGAAATTTTATAAAACCCTCAACTGCATGATGCACTTTTTCTATCCATGTGAGTCCATATGAATTATCCATTTTCTATCCATCTGAATGTATGCCAACGGAATGGGCCACTTTGTTGTCCTTGCAATGAAGTATATCCGAAATGGGGATTAAAAAAGGCTAAAGAGGTACCAACAGTAGTGAAGCAATAAAGGCCACTGTTAAAGGGGGTTCTGGCGAAGTATGGAAGAAAGAGAACGGGAAGAATTATAAAAAGAGGGTAATGAAACCAGCCATCGGTTTGCTTGTAAGCAATCCTCGAAAGAGGGAGCCATCAAAAGCCTCGCCAGCCGCTAATTGCTGCTAGCATTTGTTACGACTCGGGCTACTTCTCAAGTGCTGCTTCTTCTACTGACAATGAGCACGGAGGGAGTTTTGACTTTAGTGATGTAGTTTTGGAAAGGTAAGGTTTATGACAAAATTGAAACAGTGAATAAGTTTAGGGTTTTGGAATTTTATGGATAAGCATTAGCTTACGTAGAATCATGGAATTAAGGCCCAGCAGCTTAAAGACTATTAGTGAATCCAGGTGAACTTTGTGTTTTGTGCTTTACAGTTATTTTCCGAGAATTCAGTTGGTGCATTTTATTTTGCTGGAAACAAAACACTATAAAAGTGATTTACAGCAAAACCGGAATTTTCGTTATTTTAAAGCTTTACAAAAGGTGAAATTCCAATTTTCGGCGGGACAAAGCGGAGCAGCTGTGCAAAGGAAGAATACTGGAAATTTCGGCACTCTAACGCTTCTGCCCTTACTGCTCCACTAATGGACAGACGCATCAATCGCCGACATGACGACGCTTCTTGCAGCTCTTGCTTAAATCATTTTCATTTCAGGATATAACTGAGCCAGAACGATAATCCCTAATTTGCGGCATGGTATTGTGCACGGCATTCTGCATGCTCCTTGCTGTTCTTGTTACACCAACACTTTCAAGTTCAAAAGTAATACTAGCAACAACGACAGCATCGTCATCAGCAACAATAACAACAACAGCAAGACCCACAACAACAACGACTAGCCGCAAAAACTTCTACAACAACTTAATCAACGAAGTGATTGCCAACCACAACAGCTCGGGCGTTTACTTATCGGTTGATAACAAAACCGGAATTGAATATTACAACAACTTAATCAACGAACTGCTCAGCAACAGCAGCTCAGACATTGACTTGCACCTTAGCAGTGATGATCCCAGTGTGGTCGTTTCTCTTGAGACCAATCACTCGCACGTCGAATTACAGCTGGACATCGGTGATCCTCGCAATGAAATATTGTTGGACATTGACGGTAATAACAGACTGGTGTTCAAGGCTGGTGATCCAAACACCAATTTACTGCTAGGAAGCGGTGTTCGCAACATTGACTTATGGTTCGGGAGAAACTGCAATAACAGTAACTACAACAATAACAGCAATATTGAATACTACAACAACTTTATTAATGAGCTGATTAATGGCAATGGTACTGATAACAGCTTGGTCAATATGCTAATAAATAAATATGGCGTGCCTTACACCAGCTACATAATCAGTGGGCTAAGAAATGGCAATGATACTGAATACTACAACAACTTGATTAACGCTTTACTTAGTAAGAACGACGCGAATAACGGCAACAACATGACCAATTTATTGATGGGAAGCTCATACAACACAAGAGGGGTTGTCTACGGTAATTTAATCAGTAGTTAATTTAGTAAACACAGAAATTAACATCGAGTAGTGCAAGAATTTAATCGATGAATTGTGTAAAAATTATTACAACTTATTGTTATGCAACTTTTTCTTCTTGTTGTTATAATAACAGTATTAATAATTTATTATTATTATCATTACTATTACAATTATTTTATAGTTTCTTCCTACACTT